CAATATTACCCATCCGTCTAAATATCCATCAGTTGGGAACAATAGATACTGGGGACTCCAATAGAGGGGAGGAGGGGGCAAGGGGTCAAAAACTCCTTATTGGCTACTATATTCACTACTGGGGTGACAGGTTCAATTAAAGGCCAAGCCTCAGCATCACAAAATATACCCATGTAACAAACCTGTGCATGTATCCACTGAATCTAAAATTAAAAAAAAAAATCAATCAATCATTATCCATCATTGCTTCATCAACTCTCACCTACCAAACTAGAGATAATGGGTGGGGTAGGGAGAGAAGTGACAGGGAAGAAGGACTGAAACATTTTAGGGAACACGTTGAACTCAAATTGAAAAAAAATGAACATATTGGATTCAGACAAACGGATTAGAACATTTGAAATCATTTAGACCAACACATCCAGGACATGGACAAGCGAACTCTCACCGATGACCGATCTGCTCAAGACTTGATACTTACACGTACAGTTAAAACTAAAGTTTTTCTCACTAAACTAAATTTGTGGTAGCTCATGTCTATAATCCCAGCACCTTGGGAGGCCGAGGCAGGGGGACTCTATGAGGCCAGGAGTTCAAGACCAGCCTGGGTAATATAGTGAGACCTTGTGTTTACAAAATATAAAAACAACCTGGACCTGGTGGCATGAGCCTGTAGTCCTAGCTACTTGGGAGACTGAGGTGGGAGAATTGCTTGAGCCTAGGAGTTCAAGGCTGCAGTGAGCTATAATAGCACCATTGCACTCTAGCTTGGGTGACAGAGTGACACTCTGGCTCTTTAAAAAAAAACGTTAAAAAAAACCGTTTTATTAAGCAATAATACATAAAGCAACCTTGATATTTGCTCTTTATATTTTATTCTTTTTCTTAAGAAAAAATATTTGTCACACCCTAGGAATGAGTCACAACTGCAGTTTGAAAAATGCTGACACACAGCAGCGAAGGTACATTAGTGTTAGTGCTTTGTGAACTTCCTCAAGGTCCTATATTTACTCTATGGTACTTGTTAAGTTCTAAGTTAATACATTTGTAAAAATGAACAGCCCACTATTTGCACATTTGCTTGGCGTTCTGAATTCGAAACAGGGTAGTCTTTCTAAGAGGGCCAGTGGCAGGTGTGGGCAGCTTATATATACAAGTTCTTCCTAAGTCACACACTCACTTGTTTTGGACTTGCTTACTGGTTTTCACTGTCTTCCACCACAACAATCTTCTTTTCCTGCATCTCAGACTAATTCTTCTTGGTTTCAGTATTTATTCAGTCAACTGAAACTTGCTAATTTAGGAATACGAGGATAAGCAAGAAAAACTCTCTAACTGTGGGTAGCTTATAGATTAGAAGAAACAGACAGGTGTAACAGAGTGAGGTGTTGGCAGTGTTCCAGTAGTAGCAAGAGACGGGTCTAACTGACAAGGGGTGGAGATGCTTCCTTAGAAGAGATGTGATTGAAAAAGAAATTACGTAATTTTGCCTAGGATGAGAGATGGCATTCCTGGAAGATGAAACAGCACGTACCGAGGCATGGAGGTAGGAGGTAGGGAGAACATGAACTTCCATTTGTCTGGAGTTCTAGGAGATGGGAGATGGGAGATGAGGCCGCTGTACTCATCTGTAGGCCTGGGAGCCCCCAGGTGACTCTGTGCTCTCACTCTTCTCTGGAAGGAAGCAGAAAGGGGCAGGTTCAGATTTCAGGGTGTCAGTTTTACTTCTTTCTACTAGACTATAGCTCTACCCAAATCTGGAATTGTCTTATTATCAGAATCCTCAGTACCTGGTACAGGGGCTGTCAAGGACCCAACGGACATTCAGAGGAATATCAGACAACTAGCTTATGTAGCCCCACACTTGGCAGGTGTCTGAAACTCAGGTCCAGTCTCTGCTCTCAGCTTCAAGAGGAATAAAATGGAATTGCAGCCTTTTAAAAATAACTTAGGAAAATAAATATTCTCTTTTATTAAGAACTCTTTTCAACACTAACCCTTCCTGGAAAGATATTTTGAATGAAGCAATATGAGTACTATCATTTTACCTCCTGGATTCTAAAGATAAGGAAAATAGAGATGAATAAAACATAGAAGAATAAAAACCACTGACTTGTGATATCCCAGCTTTCTATTTCATACCAGTGACTGATGCTCAACAACAACTTTAGGCTTTTGATTATTTTTATATAAATTTATTTTGGATAAGTGTGAATGTCATCAAAGAAATAACTGTCCTGGGCATGGTGGCTCATGCCTGTAATCGCAGCACTTTGAGAGGCTGAGGCAGATGGCTCACCTGAGGTCGAGAGTTTGAGACCAGCCTGACCAACATGGAGAAAACCTGTCTCTACCAAAAACACAAAATTAGCCGGGTATGGTGGTGCATGCCTGTAATCCCAGCTACTCAGAATGCTGAGGCAGGAGAACAGCTTGAATCTGGGAGGCAGAGGAGGCAGTGAGCCGAGATCACCGCATTGCACTCCAGGCTGGGCAACAAGAGTGAAACTTCATCTCAAAAAAAAAAAAAAAAAATGTATATTAGAGTTGAGTGATCCTTTTGAGCTTATTCTGGCTTATCTCTCTCATCTTATAGTTAAGGAAAGTGGAGCCTAAATAACTTTATGCAAGTTGCCCCAAATTTTCTAATAGACAGTGAAAATCAACCAAACAGCCATGACTTAGAGCAAGTTACCTTTTCTTTCTTTCTTTCTTTCTTTTTTTTTTTTTGAGATGGAGTCTTGCTCTGTAGCCCAGGCTGGAGTGCAGTGGCATGATCTCAGCTCACTGCAACCTCTGCCTTCCGGGTCCGGGTTCAAGCAATTCTCCTACCTCAGCCTCCCAAGTAAGCTGGCATTACAGGCATGAGCCACCATGCCCAGCTAATTTTTGTATTTTTTAGTAGATAAAAAATGGTTTCACCATGTTGGCCAGTCTGATCTTGAACTCCTGACCTCACGATCCGCCCACCTTGGCCTCCTAACGTGCTGGGGTTACAGGCGTGAGCCACTGTGCCCACTGCAAGTTGCCTTTTTGATGTGTGTTCCTTTAGTCTCTTAGAAATGTGTATGTGTATTCTCATACTAAAATCTTATCATACTCTTTATATTTTTGAATCTTGCCTTTTTCATTCAATGTATTTTGAGGTTTTTCTCCAAATTTGTTATTCACATATTTATTCATCACATATCCACATGTTTAATGTCTCTAAAATATCTCATTGCATGGAGAAACCCTAATTTAAGTGATCTCTGTTGTTAGGCATTTAGGTTGTGAGTTTTTGTTGCTGTATTGGCAATAAAACCTTTGTACATAAATCATGAGGCTTCTTTCTAGTTATTTCTTAAGGAAGAAAGTTACTTGGCCAAAGGGGATGGACATATCTAAGGCTTCAGATATATACTGCCAAGCTGAGGAGCTCAGGAAAGTTGTACAGATTTGCCATAATCAACATGTTTCATAGCTTTTTTTGAAATCTTAGCAACTTTAAGCCTAATAGGTCAGCATCAGTAATTACAGTTAATTTAGAGTTCAAAATTGCCCTAGTTTTAATCATTTAAAAATAACAATTTTATAATTTTTAAACAATAATAATTATGATGCAACCATTACTTTGAGAAGCCAAGAGATCTTATTCTCAACTTGTAAATGAATCTATAAGAGCTAAGAGAGAAGAAAAGGGTTACTAAGAAGGTCAAATTCGGGCTACTGCCAAAGATCAAATTTGAAACGTCCAGGAGTTTTCCTGTAGGGGTCACTGTTACTGTCAATTTATGCCTGCAAGGAAACTAAAATAGTCACACATTGAAGAATGTATGCACGTTTTTAATGCCCGATTCCTCTACGTTTCTTTCCCTTTGTGTGTGTGCGTGTGTGTGTGTGTGTGTGTGTGTGTGTGTGTGTGTGTGAGATGGAGCCTCATTCTATCGCCAGGCTGGAGTGCAGTGGCCCGATCTCGGCTCACTGCAACCTCTGGCTCCTCGGTTCAAGCGCTTCTCCTGCCTCAGCCTCCCGAGTAGCGGGGACTACAGGTGCGCGCCACCACGTCCAGGTAATTTTTGTATTTTTTTAAGTAGAGACAGGGTTTCACCATATTGGCCAGGATTGTCTTTTGACCTCGTGATTCGCCAGGATTGTCTTTTGACCTCGTGATTCGCCCGCCTCAGCCTCCCAAATTGATGGGATTACAGGTGTGAGCCGCTGTGCCCCGCCTCTCTACGTTTAAACTGCAAAATAATAACAACATGCAGCCAGATAGCATCATGATAACAAGTTCTTTATATGACACATACCTTTCCACTCAATGTGCTCCTCAGTTTGAATTGATAAAATACATGCTACTTAAATGAAAGGGATTTATGCCTGCTCTTAGTAGAGAAAGCATTAGCTAATTCCCTAACGCCCCATTAGCACATAAACGGCCTATACTGACTTGAGAAGGAAAGAATATTCATTGATGTGGCCAAGAGGATCCCCTCTCTCCACCTTCCCTTTTCTGCATTAAAATCTACACAGGCAAAAGTCAGATGTTGTAATATGCATTCTGTCGTGTCCTTTAAGTACAAAGAGGCGCTTTTTAACTTTTAAGTTTTTATTACTGCAGCTCAAACTTGACCGAGACGTTCCAGGATCCGGGCCAAGGTGTCAGTGTGGCCACAATCGCAAGACGGCTGTCAGGCTTCAGGGCTGGGCAGGGAACTTGCCAGGTGCTACCAGGAACGTGTCAGCAGTTTCTACAAAGCAGGTGTCTTTCCCATCATAAAATGCAAAGCAGCCAGCCGTTCCATTTCTCCCCAGCCCCCTCGTCCGGAGGCCGAGAGGATATTTACTCCGGGATCTTGCGCTTCTCTTGTAATTGAACCCAGCGGCCGCTCCTTCCCCTTCAGAGCCAGTAGGCTCAGGCCCAGCCACTTTACCGGCAAATTGCCGAGCTGACCAAAGGCTTTGGTCAAACCCGAGCTGGGCGGGGGGGTCGGGGAAGCGGAAGGGTCGGACTAGGAAAGCCGGGCGTGCGAGGTGGTGAAGCTGGTGGGCAAGCCTCCACTTCAGGCCCCAGTGGAGACCTCGGGGTTTTGTGTCTCGCCGCAGACGCTTGGCGCCGCTCCTCTTCCAGCCTGCTGCCATCTTCTCCGAGCGAGGGAGTTGGTGAAACTCACTCACCTGTCGGAACCTGGGGCCTGGCGGCCAGAGCGCGCAGGTTGCAGCAAACCTCGGCCGGGACGCCCCAGCCAGGGAGGCAAGTGTGGGGGCTGCTCCCTCAGACGCCAGCCCCCATCCCCAGCTCTGCGCCCCCGGCTCCCTGCTCATCCACTTTGGCTTCCAGGAGCCTTCGGCTTGGAGTACCCAGAAGGCTAAGTCCGGCAGACGCCAGGGCTGCAGGTTCGAGACGCTCCGCCCCCTCCTGCCACTTAGAGCCACAAGCGCCAGCGGGACCTTTCCGCTTGGTCTTAGTCTGCGGTCACTACTGAGGTTTTCGAAACTTTCCAGGCAAAGGCCAGCCAGGTCCTTTGCCTCCAACCCACGCCGCGCCTACCTCCCGCCTGGGACACCCCTGGGCCCAGGAGATCCCATTCTTCTCGGAGCACCGACGTTCCAACTGTTGTCCGCGCACCCTGACTGCTGTCCGACTCCCGTGCCAAGGGGCGCGCGCATCTTCCCGAGGCCAGCAACGCTCCCAACCTTTCGACTCGCCTTCCTCCTCCTCAGAGTTGGAGTGAGGCGGGTTGAGCCCGGATCCGGGGTGCACTCGAGCGTTCCCAGCGCTCGGGATTCGCCCCCACCTCAGCGCCCACCTTCGAGGGGGGATTGAAACTCGGAGGTCGAGGCCTCTAATTCTAAAGCTCAAATTGGCCCCCGCCTTTTCTCTCGACATCCCTGTGCCCATCGCGTGCCAGCCGGGAGAGCGGCCGGGCGGAGGATTCGAGTGCTCTGGGCCGCGTCGCCCCGTCGGGTGCCGAGCTGAGCGCACCATGGCCAGCTGCTGCTGCCTGTCCGCGGAGGAGAAGGAGTCGCAGCGCATCAGCGCGGAGATCGAGCGGCAGCTTCGTCGGGACAAGAAGGACGCGCGCCGCGAGCTCAAGCTGCTGCTGCTGGGTGAGTGGCTGCGTCTCCGACCCCCGCGAGTCGGGCGTTCCCCTCCCGGCCGTTCCACTGCCCCGGACTCGCGCGGCCCTACCGTAGCCCAGCGGCGGGCAGGCGGCTTCCTCCTTATCGCCCTCGGAGCTCACTGATGCTAGCAACTTGGGGCGTTAGGCGCCTGTTCTTTCCATCTCTGGCTGGGCGACTTGCAAAAAGCACCCCTTCCCCTGCCCCCAAACAGGACAGGGAACCGTAACACGACCTCTTGACCGCTGTACCCCATGTGTTCCGGTGTGCCCCTCTCCCCAAAACCCTGTCCACACCTCCGCCTGCAGCACAACCAGCTTGGGGATCTGTGGTGGAGGAACTGCCTGACCTACATCTTGGGTTCAGCGCTAGCTCTGACCCGCACTCTTTGAGTTCTAGATGAAGCATCTTGAGTACTTACATGTGCCAGGCCGTGCTAGGTTCTTATGGGCATCACCAGCTGGTGATGCAGGCAGGTGATAGCCCTTTTTTAGAGAATTAAAACATGGAGGCCTGGAGAACTGACCAACTTGCCCTGATTGAGCAAAGGCAAAGCAGATAATAGGTCAGTTGCGGGGGGGAAGCCCAGGCCGATGGCCGCTCCTCTGACTGTGAGCTCCCACGCCTGCCTCCCATGGGTCCCTTTGGCCAGGCCTTTCTGTTTGCAGCAGACCCGAACCTCCCTTGCCCAGCCTGACGCAGAGTGTCCACACCCTAGGATTCAGCTTGGCTGCTCAGGTGCCTCTGCCCCGTCTTCATCCAGCTCCTTTTGCCTCTCCGCAAAGGTCTGGATAGGACATCCACTTTCAAATAGAAAGAGAACAGTTTACGGTTTGCTCACATTATGCCATAAGGCAAGGATCCTACCTCCTCAGACTTTCTAGAATGCTGTCAACACATTTGCTGTTTGAGGAATATTTTACCTTTTCTATCTTTCAGACCGTAATATTAGCTGTCACTTTTTTTCTAGATAGCCGCAAAGATGTCAACTTTTTTCTTTCATCCCTTTCGAACAGGAATCCTCTTATACCATCTGTCTCTTGATGTATTCATCTTTATTCCTTGTGTAGGGATCACTCTCCCAGAAAGCTTCAAGGAAAGACAAAGTTGATGTAGTTAGTGTAGTATATAGAGAAGGCTCTCGGCCAGTATGGCCTTCAGACATGCCGGGAAGAACCCCCTTACCCTTATCCCCTGGGTTTAAAGGACCCAGTCTGGTCTTCTGGAATGAGGGGGTGTGTGCCCCTTCCCACAGAGCTGGAAGTCTAGGTCCAGTGGGGGCTGGCTACCCAGAGTCTACGCTGCCCCCGTCCTCCCAAGACCTGGATGGAATACCCAGCCCAAAGAGCTCCATGCCAGCTTCTAAGGCCTGAGCTCTAGAAAGGAGAGCAGACCTGATTCCTGGGGAGCGCACAAAGGGGCAGTTGTTTGCTGGGGCATAAAAGTTTGGAAGTGTGGGGTGGATAGGAGTGGAGGGAGGCCCCATGGGTGCCCAGGAGGCCCCACTACGAGAGGGGGAGCCTGGGTGGGGAAGGGAAGGGGCTCTGTTTGTTGGCTAGGGCTATTTCTGTGTCTGGCCCATAACTTTGAAGGATCTGAAAATTCTAAATTGTCCCTGTCCTTCTAGGGTATTATAAAGCGACTTTTGTCAAGGGAGGAGGAATACTTGACAGTTTGTTAGCTTAACACTCAAAAATAATTATGGGGTGGGGGCTTTGTACTTTTGCCCCAAGTCCCACAAACAGGGGGTTTAGTTGTATATGTGCTTTTTTCTTTTTAAGTGCAGGCTGAACCCTATTTCATTTTGCAGTGCTTTGATTTGTGTCAGTGTAGGGAGTATAGTATCCAGAATATACCAGGAGCTTGACAAATGCTGGCGTTTTGTATGAAAAGTTATGCAGTCAGCTGAGCCGTACTGTGTTGGTAATAAGCCTGTTTGTTTGATGTAAAATGCTTGCATGTACACACAAACTAGGCGAGGAGTGTTTGTAGGTAAATTGTTTGCCCTCAAAGTCACATTAATCAGGGTGACCCAGTGTCTTCATCTCCCCAGGCCCTTGCTCCAACACCCCCTTGAGGCACTGTCTGACCTCCCAAAACCCCCATTTTCATCTTGCCGAGTCGTAACTAGCACATGCCCTTAGTGAAAACTTTCCTGTGAAAAATACAGTTTCCAAACCACAGGGAGCTGTTCAGAACTCCAGGGATGGACTTCAAAACCTCTGATTTATTTCAGTTGATAGAGTACTAGGGCACGGCTCCATTTCTGCTTCTCAAGTTAAGGAAGAGCCAGTGACTCAGAAGAAACAGAGACTGGGGAAGGGTATGTGCTGTTTTGTCTGAAGTCATGCAGTCTGGCTGAAAAATCCACCCATCTCTCTAGTGGGTGGATTAGAGCATCCACTGTTCAGGAGCCTCTGTTAAAAACTACACTTTGCAAATGGGAGTTTGAGATCCTTTTGTGGAGCATGGAATGACCCCAAAAGCCACCAGCTCTTTCACAATGAAGCATGCTTTTGCAACAAAATGATTTGAGGATGTTTCTAAAGTGCATTGTCCTGTTTCTGCTTAATAAAAGCATGGGTCAGTGTCTACCAGGGAAAGATAAAAGCTGTTGTTTGGTTAAGACTAATAATTGCAAGATGTTGGCATGACTCCTTCTCATCAGCAAGAGATGGAGAAAATAAAGACGATGGTTAAATTTAGTAGAAAGAAATTTACCAGTTTCTTGGATGAAAGGACAAAGAGGAGTTCTGATAAGAACATTGATGAGTACTGATCAGTGTGGGGAGAGAGCGTCAGGACAATAGCTATTAAGGGAAAATGAGATCTTGGATTGATTTTCATGTTAAATGTACATTGGTGAAGTGGCTTGTTAATTGGGTTTACTGTCTTAATTTTGGATGCAGCCCTCACCTTGGAGCTCCCTGGAAGGAAGAGGAATTGGTATTTAACAGATGCTGGCTGAATTAGTTTGCTAGGGCTGCCATAACAAAATACCACAGACTGGGAGGCTTAAGCAAAGGAAATTAATTTTTTGACAGTTATGTAGCTGGAAGTCCAAGAGCAGTGTTTTGGCTTGGCAGGTTTGGTTTTTCCGGAGGCCTCTCTCCTTGGCTTGCAGACAGCTGCCTTCTCCCTGTGGCCTCACATGGCCTTTTTTCTGGGCATGCACATCCCTGTGTCATCTCCTGCTCCTCCTCCTCCTTCCATCCTCTCCTCCCACCTCTCCCCACTTCCTCCCCCTCCCCGATCCTTTCTTCTTCTTTCTGACACTCTTCAGGTTGGAGTTCAGTAGTACAGTCATGGTTTCCTACAGCCTTGACCTCCTGGGCTCAAGCAATCCTCCCACCAGTCTCCTGAGTAGTTGGTATTAAGGCGTGAGCCACCATGCTGGGCTTATTTTTATTTTTCTTAGTTTGTGTTGCCAATGCTGGGCTCAAACGATCCCTCTGCCTCAACTTCCCAAAGTTGCTGGGATTATAGGTGTGAGCCACTGTGCCCGGCCACTTCCTCTTCTTCTAAGACACCAGTTCCTATTGTATTAGGGTCCTGCTCATTTTATCTTAATCACCTCTTTAAAGACATTATCTTCAAATACAGTTACATTCTGAGGTTACTAGTGGCTGGGATTTCAACATATAAACTTTGTCAGGAGGACTAAATTCAGTCAGAAACCCTGGTGCAGAGATGAAAAATGTAGATTGTTAGGCCAGTCAGCCTGAGTTTGAACCCTAGCCCTGCAGTTTCTTAGCTGTGGACTGACTTCTCTGGGCTTTGGATGATAGTGCTCAGTGGCAGCTATCATCACTCAGTTTGAGTATTTTCAGGCCCTCGAGAGGTGTCCTTTTCCATTGAGTTGACTAACTGTGGGATGCATAGAAGATTGTCTATGTTGTCCTGGTAGTGCTTTAACAGAAATGTTTTGCTTTGAGTTTCCTTTAGTGTTTTCTGAGCCATAAACTGATTTTAAAATCCCTCTTCCTACTTACACCAAAGAGTTGAAAATCAGGGTCCCAAAAAGTTTTATTGGATTGGTTATAACAAAATCCCATTTTAGAATTAGCTGTCATGTTCCTGGGCAGGAAGTCCATTCCAGAAAATGGTATGAATAGTGTGAATTTCATGGTAGAAAGTGACAGCACTGGCCGGGTGCGGTGGCTCACGCCTGTAATTGCAGCACTTTGGGAGGCTGAGGTGGGCTAATCACCTGAGGTCAGGAGTTTGAGACAAGCCTGACCAACATGAAGAAACTCCATCTCTACTAAAAATACAAAATTATCTGGGTGTGGTGGTGCATGCCTATAATCCCAGCTACTCAGGAGGCTGAGGCAGGAGAATCACTTGAATCCGGGAGGCAGAGGTTGCGGTGAGCCAAGATCACACTATTGCACTCAAGCCTGGACAGTAAGAGTGAAATTCCGTCTGAAAAAAAAAAAAAAAGTGACAACACCTTCCTACTCTGTGAAGAAGAAAAGGAATGAAATGGTAAATATGCCCATATTCCTGTGTCTGAGCTTAGTGCAATGCAGCAGGCTTTTCTAAGGTGCCAGTGCTTGGTGCAAAGATTTCTTCCCAAGGGCTGAGTTGGAGAAGGACAGTTCACAAATAGCTTTTATGAGGAAGATGGTCATAAAAGCTTAACAGATTAAGGGGTGGAACAGGCAGAACATAAAGGGGGAGCCTATGGAGAAGGCATCATCTCAGTGGGCCTTGAAATAGGGGGAGGGTAAGATGGAAACCATTGTTTGCATGTGGGGGCTAGGTTGAGAGATTACACAAACTCTCCTCACCATCTGGGGAAACTTCTGAGGACAGTAAATGGTGTTCTTAGGATTTGGGATCATATGAAGGATCCCTGGGGGCCAGATTTCACTGAGTTTTTATGTTTTATTTTATTTCATTTGTTGGTTTGTTTTGAGACAGAGTCATGCTCTGTCACCCAGGCTGGAGTGCAATGGTGCAATCATGGTTCCCTGCAACCTACA